ATAGCAGTTAAGGTTTTACGGGTAATCCCATAATGGTATTGCCATATTATAATCGAGGAGAAAGGGAAGCCCGGAGCTTCTTTCTCCCTGATTCTTTGGTTGAATGATGGATTTCCACACGCACTATACTTTTAGAGGACCGAAAACATAATAAGAATATATTTATAAGCTAGTTCATAAGATTTAAGTCCTCTAGTGTTTATAATTAATAAAGTTAAATAAAGATATACATATTATTATATTCTCAACAAGGGAACTTATTTTATAAAATTAATACCTTTTTTAGCGACTTGAGTCTATAAGTGCCTTGAGCCTTGTGTTTTATTTTAATACTAGGTGTGCCAGCGACTTCGTTCGCGTTATAAACTTAAGCTGTTAGCCACGGCGTCGACCGCGTCCCGTCCCGTCAGAGATGAAAAATTTCCACCGTTTTGTTCACATTTCCCGCTGTCTTCGCTTCTATTAGTCACGGCGCGATGTTTTATAACCTATAGCCTTCCTCGATAAATGTTCTATCCAAAACAATAAGTTATTTCCGTAGTTCCTGAGATTAGCGCGTACAAACAAACAAACAAATAAACTCTTCAGCTTTATATATTAGTATAGATTTTCCAATGAAACAGTTTATAAAATGTGTCCTTTAATAAAAATGCGATGCAAAACTTTCGCTTTTAAGGTTATTCGTATCTCGTTCAAGCCATCTCAATATTTATAGCATAACCTACTCACTATGAGAACCGGATGCAATTATATCATGATAATAGTCATACATATTTAATAGGCGCTCAGCTATTAATATTGATTGATTAATATTTTTAATACTTAATGAAGTATAATTATAAAAATGTTAAGATAATTATGAAATGTGTTTGTTATTTCATATTTGGCCTTTCACGCTGCGATGGAGCAACTAATTGACTTGATTTATTATATTAAGTTGAAGTCGTGTTTGCTTCTATAAATAGCAGAATATTTGAAAATACCGACTACAAAAGTATAGCTAAACTAGTCCTATTTCTAAAACACATGTCCTTTAAAGAAATTAGTTCACAACATGACCACAACGGAAAATACAGTCCTTTAAATGTCATAGCGGCGTTTGAAAAGAGAAAAAGGAAAGATCAATACGCATTTATAGTCCAGTCACCGTTTAGGTGACGGAATTGGCTGTGCTAAATGGCGTCTATTGGAGCTTATTGTTATTTTTTATCTATAACGTTCATTGATGCGTATAGTTTGTTGTAAATAAAGAAATAATTAGTAATGATATTAATATTAATGAATATATAAAATCTATTAAATTTCCTGTATATTATTATGACTATAATCTTAAACCTTTTATGCAAATGACTACCCACTATGCTGACTATGCAAAAATATTTGGTCGCCATTATTCGAGACCGGTGGAGCTTGGCCATAATCTCACCTAATCAGTAAAAACGAATCTTACGCAATGGCATTTTGGCGTCACTCGACTGTGGTCGCCGATTCGCTTTCACCCATAACTGCTTTCTATAATTCGGGTGAATCTTTGCGACAGTCACGTTTTGTTCCGTATGGGATTCATGATACACATTACTTGTACACAGTTTATATAGAATAATCTGTGGTCTTGGTTCTTTGGTAAATAACTTTAGTATAGTTCCTACAAACCGTAGTGAGATGGGTAAGCCTAAACCTAGCATAACTTAAAATGGGAGAGGTCTTATGTTCGAATCCCGGGGAAACAATGAATTGTTTCGATCGGGCAGATCCAGTACTTGCCTCTAAAATCGATCAGTGAAAAGTTGCCTAGAAACCTGTCATAACCCACCATTACGAACCATTCTAGTGTATACGTTTTATTTGTATTGTATGCGATAAAGAATCAACTATTAAGACAAGGTTTTTTTGAATACCTAAGAAATTAACCCAAAAAATTTATTTACTTATGGGATTGAACCTAAATCGGATTCCGAAAACGTGTATATACTCGACGACTGCAGTTTCTAAAAAGAATTCAATAGAAGTTATTATTCGTAAGTTATAATAACACAATACATAGTTATATCAAGTCGCTATTGTTTTATGAATGCCAAATCTCGAATTACGATTAAAAGAACTTTCTCTTAACAGATACAAACAATAGATCCAATTAAAGTTTCCAAATCCAATCAAAATTGCTATGACAGACGTTTGTAACGTAACCCATAATTAAATGATATTTAATTATGGGTAATGGGTATCATATTTAATTTTGTCAACAGTTTTATAAATTCTGTGCCCGCGACTTCGTGCGCATGCGCATGGAATAGTTATTTTGGTCATCGTATTATTTATTTTTGGTACTGATAGCTGTTATATACCTACGACGTTAAAAGATAGCCTTATACCGCCGCAAACATTATTTTAGATAATTTAGAAAAGAATCATAATATCTTCATAAACAGATTCTTGGTTTCATGAAATGTTTTTGCAGCGCACACAACCCCTCAAATATGAATCCCATTTTTTGCCACATTTCCATGTCTCTTCACTCCTGTAGGTCGCAAGTCGTGATATTATATTTATATAGCACGTACTTGCAACTAAACTAAAGCTGGCCTAAGATTAAGGATTATTAAAGATTCCTACCCTGTGTTTATTCGTCAATTCAACAAACAGATATACAGACATCCTTGATTAGATGAGAATTCAAATAAACATAGGTTTAGACTTTAGAGATATTGCCTCGGCAAAAAAACCCGTTGTCTTGAACCGCTCGTGGTTATAATTATAATCGATATTATGTATGTTCTTCATAACTTTCTAGCACCATAATAATACATTAGAAAATGGTTATATGATGCAATGTACATTTCTATTCATTGTTGATAATAAGTAAAAGAGATATTGCATATCTCTTGTTTATATTAAAATGTTTTTTAACTGATGGTGAAAATGCCTAATGCACGCCCACGTCGGGGAATAGTGACCGACCAGAACCACTAAACGTACAACCACGATGCTTTAAGGGAGCCCTGGGAACACGTTTGCATGACTCCAAAGGTCCCAGCACCAATGCCCGTTTCAGATTTTAACTATGGTGTCTAACTCTCGAAATTACAATATCGGGAGAATTGTACCTTATAAGCATTTCTTGAATAGTAACTGAGGTTTTAAATCATTAAAGTTTTGGCATACCCAATCGTATGCTAGAAAAGCTAAACATTACCGGGAGACTGGTAATGTTTAGCTTAACCAAGGGACTTCTAGCTTTCTTCCAGATTGGGCACGACTCATCAGAAGCTTGTCAACTAAATACTGTCTATAGTTTACGCGAGTAGTACACATTTAAATAAAACACTTCAACGGTTTAAAACGCGATATATTAGTTAAAAATTATTTGAAAATTATTTTTAACTTCGGCCCGACGTTTCCGATCCGGTCGGGCCGAAGTTAAAAATCATTTTCAAATAAGTTTAACTAATATATCGCTTCTCAGACTGTTAAATTTCAGTAGGTACCTAATATATTTCGTGTTTTAAACGGTTTTACATAGGTAGGTGATAATTCTGTATTTGTTTCGTGACTGATACAAAAACATTAGAAGCAAAGATTGAATCACATTTGAATGCCGTGTGGCTTATAAGACATTTACGACGGTCACGACACTGCAAGTTCAATACAACTTTGAACTGCTTAGGTGGTTGATACAATGATCTAGAGTAGGAACCTATTTATTGTAATTCTTTATATATTATCTTCATGGTCTTTACATGCTTTGCCATTATTTATGTGATGGGAATTTTGAAGTGTTAAAAGGAAGTTATTTTGACTTACGATGTTAGTGTGTCTTAGCATTACAATAGCTTGTCGTGTATTCGACTTTTACTATGTTAGGCATTTATTTTAACACTTATTCGATAAGCTTTTAAATTTGATAATTTACAGATTAATTGCTACTTTAAATGGAAAATCTGCGGTTTATACCTTCTCTCGGAGTTAAGCATTTTCTCTTTAGCAATCAACCTTTGTCCACTCCAAAAAGTCTTGAACTTTGTTTCGGCCTGATTATAGGTTTTTTAATTCATAAGGCCTTGTTCAACCCGACAAACACTTTCAATTCCGCAATTCACGTCATAAAAATCTTGTTTAAATTATTTAATATTACAGATAGACATCAAAATAGTTAATTAATTTAGAACAATCAAAATACTTAAGTATGTAACTGTAACATATACATGCTAGCTTATTATTAATGAAAAATCCATAAGGATTGAATTAAGTCGAGTACGAGCGAGAGTAGTAGGGTAGTACGGTTTTGGGTTCAATTCCCTCCCCAGTTAGATAGAATTCAAATATATGTTTAGTCAGAATAATATTTCATAAAGAATCTTCGTATTTATTTGAAAGGCTACACCTTGCAAAATCCATCTCTGAACTCTAGTCCTGTCTTAGTTTATAAATTAAGTTCAGACAGGTTATTAGTGCCTGACAGTTAAGATAATGAATTACTTCATTCAACGTACATACTCCAGGATACGGATCTTATTGTCGTATTTTTTCAAGGCCCTTTTACTTCTTATCGTTGTTACTTATTATCGAAATCATATTTATATATCTCTATTTATATAATAAATCTAAGATGATGAAATAACCTTAAATATTTGAGTATTTCTAAGCCCTGTTCTCTCTATCTATTCGAAATAAAAATAGATCACTATGATGTTTATTACAACAAAAAATATAATTATATCTAACGAAAGCAAATACAAGGTTGAAATATTATACATACCTTTTTCATGGTCACCTCTAAAACAATAGTGTATATTTCCTAACATTTTACACTTTGTTGTAGTTACATTATTTAATCTTAAGAATATTAAATTACATTAAGCAAGGCTGCTTCTGTTTCCATTTTTATAAAAATGCCAAATAAATAAGTCGAATTTGCTTAACCATATATTTTTGTTTCAGTGATACCAGCCATAGTAACTTCAGTTACAATTTCATCAAACGGAAACAGTCCGGAAACTAAAATGACAAGACATATGGCCATAGATTCACAAAATATATTTAACCCCATAACACCAACGTCCGATGATACAAAGAAACAGAAAACAAAGCCTTCAAAGATTAATTCTAGCAAACTTGGAATAAACGAACGGTACCGCAGATTAATTCCGTACATGACGTTTTATTACGCAAACGATATAGCAACACCATCGACAGTGCCGCAACAAGAATCTAAGTCCGTAGAAGTTGAGAAAGCAGAAATAATTGAGACTGGCAACATAGTTCCCAGTCAGAGAGAAGAAAGAGTGATTCATTCTTATTTGAGGCATAAGAATATACCGAGGTACCAAGGAAATCGATTGACGCAACATAACATCGCATCAGCCAACCCAAATAAACTTTATTTTAAGGAAGTTCCGCCGTCATACTATCAATCAAACAAATTTTCACCCAACTACAATCCCCTTTTAATAGAGCATAATATACAAGCAGAGCGAGAAAGGGAGTACGAGAGATTTATTGCAAAACCCATGAAATCTCCGAGTGCACCATTCTCACAAGCAACAAGGAAACCATTTTTAAATCTCTACCAAAATGATGACGCCAATATACAATATTATTTGTCGGATAAAGAACCAGCTCCAAAATATAAACTAGTTCCCTACGAACAGACACCACCGGTTAAAAATGTTCCTCAATACGAGAGTCTAGAACATATCAATCACTATAACTTGCCTGTGCAGAGTCCAAAAGAAACTGTTTACATAAAACCGAAGCCAACACAGCCACATTATATCTATTATAATGAAAATGAACAATACAGACCAAAGAAACCACCAACAACTATATCGGAGATGTATTATGAAAAACAAACAGCGGTACCACCACAAGAACCTGTGGTCGAAAGTGGTTTTAGGCCAATAATAGCTTCTAAGCCTTACACCACTGAAGCACCTCAATACACACCTGTTTATCATCAAGTACCGGTGGAGAGACCGTCAGAAGAAGTCATAAGAAAACCGAGCTATCAGTACGTATTAGAAGAACCAACATATATATCGAAACCGACGCATAATGAAGATACAAAGACCGTGAGCTTAGCAGATTTACTAAATTCGTTACAAATTAACAAATCTATACCCAAACCAATAACTAAAGAGAACGTAAGTGCTTCAATAACAACCCTACTACAAGTATTAAACGCTCTTAAGGCTCAACAAAATGAAATTGAAGCACCGGTTTTAAGTACACCAAAAGCTTTCGTTGCCTCGAAAATACCCGTGAGAACAACACCAAAGCCTATACACACAACATTGGATACTCCACCTCAAAGCGTCGAGTTTGAAGAACCGTACTTGGCGCAAGTAAATTCACCATCTCAACATATAGACGGTAAGAATTGTATAATTCATCTTACAAAAAATCGTAAAATATCTACTTAACTAGGTGTTTGTGGTATTTATTGAACCAACTTTAAAAGGTAAAGAAGAACTGTAGGACTTTTTAAATAAAAATAAATAATATAGCTGTTATCCGTTATTTTTTCATCACAATTTTCACCGATTTTATTTTTCACATTTCCACTATTTCTTTTCTCATATTGGCTTTTATAGCCTAAATGCTTCCTTAATAAATGTTCTAACCGACAAATAATTCATTTAAAAAATTTATAATATATATATTTTTAATTCGAGTCAGTAGTTTTGAGATTAGGGCGTTCAAACAAAAAAAACTCTTCAGCTTTAAAATATTAGTATAGATTACATTAAATTAAACATACAATTCGATACACGATGACTTTTCAGACTATCCATCCAGCGGTAGCAGTCAGCAATACCCGCAGCCAATTCATTCGGATGAAGAAGGAGGCACACCCGGTCGACCAGGGGTTGACTATCCTATTTTGACCGTTATTCCACCAACCAAATTTGACTGCAAAACTCAGCGTTATAAAGGATTCTTTGCAGACCCTGAAACGAGATGTCAGGTTTGTTTGACAGAGTAAACATAAATACTGTCTGTTGTTACGCAAATAGTAAATGTGTACTATTTGCGTAACAAAACAACACTTTCACGGTTTAAAACGCGATATATATTAGTTAAACTTATTTGAAAATTATTATCACGTGGAGACTTCCCGTGACCGCGGCTGCTGCAAAGCATCCGAAACGTCGAGCCGTAGTTAAAAATAATTTTCAAACCGCGTTTTAAACCGTTAAAGTGCTTTATTTAAAAAAGTAAACTTAATATATACCTGGTAAAAAATTGTTGTCATTTATTAAATAAATGTTTCTCACATTTTCAGGTCTGGCATTACTGTGATTTGAACGGCGGACAAGCGTCGTTTTTGTGCCCCAATGGAACGATATTTTCACAAGCGGCCCTTACCTGCGATTGGTGGTTTAACGTTCGCTGTGCTTCTACAGCTCAGCTCTATGTACTTAATGAGAGCCTATATAAATTCATTTTGCCACATTCACCGAAATTCCCAGAAGATTACAGCGGACCTTTGGTCGATAAGTAAGTCAAAGTGCTGATTTAATTTCAGAACCAAAATTTCGTCTTGGTGTACATCTACAAATAACACATACATACGTAATGTGGATCTAAGCGTCTAATTCATATACAGGAGGACATACAGGAGTTAATTTCATGGGACGTGAAATACCTGAGCTATATAACATCTAACCAAGATGCGCTCTCGACTTATTTTGGCTTTGCGGATATCCAAAGCCAAAATAGCACAAATCCGCAGACTGAAACCGAAATGCGATTCAACTTCAAGGTTGTTCATCTGTGGACGGTGGTTATGACCCGGGCGAAATTTTGATATCCTATCACCCATTTAATATCCAGATTTCCAAACGAAGTTCAACATGTTTCAGATTGGGGATCGAATCCACGACCCATTGATTATTAGCCATACATTGCTACTATTAGACTAACGAACACGCCAAAACGAGACTTTACTGTTAATGTGTATATTTGCAGATACCTAACCCTCAAATTCAAAGAAATGGAGGAACAATTCAAGAAGAACAAAAATAAGCACACAGCGTCAGAAAAAATAGATAATAGTGATGAGGACGCTTCCAGTGAGAATGTTCCAGAATCGAGCACCGAAAGCAAAGGCGATATAGAAGGACGGGCTGTTAATGAAGGCGGAGTTATCATTGAGTCTGCCGGCTCTACTGGTAATGTTGAGAGGCTGCAAGAAAAATAACCTTATGGAGCAAGAAAGACATAGGTAGAAGAAGAAGATCAAGAAGTAATTTAAGGCTACAAGAGCTACGAGCAGACTTAATCCCAATGAGGTATAATAACATTGGTGAGGATAGCTAAAACTGGCCAATGTCAACTTCACTGATTTTAACAATTGCTAAATTTATATCAATGTCATTATTTCTCAGTGAAATTGGGTCGAAGTCACTCACGTTAAGACAATCTACTTATTTACCACTTAAATCAACTGTGATGTAGTTACAAACTATTTATAAGTTGACTTTGAAAGGGCGTATGAAAGTGAATTTTATCAAATAGTATTAGGAATTAAACTTGCCATATTTCGCCATGTTTAATTCGAATGTAATTTTTAATTATTAGCTTAGTCTTGACCTGGATATGAGTTAGTATCTGTTATTTAAATGTGTGAAAGATTCGTTAAAGTATGTCAAATCCATCTAGTTCACAGCTGGTAAATTCTTAGAAAATAGTAATTATTATTATATTAAATATGATATTTAAGCTATAATATAATATACGTAAACTGTATAGCTTGGACAACATGTCACCTGTACCTAATATTTTAATAAGTTACATCTATTCCTATTTAATATCTAGGAATATTTTTTAGCTATAAGTAACGTGCAATATCTATGTATTATTTTTTATTAGCTTTATTGAATGTATTGAATTCGTTGAATTGTATGTATCTTTATTGAATGTAATAAAATAAAAAGACGCTTCCATTTCTTACATTTAATGATATTATTTACAAAATGCATTTGGTTGGCTTACAGCTATATTTAGCAACATTAATAGAAACATCTTCAAGATCAGTAAACACAAAAATGTTGTCTCGCTAGACACAAAGTATATTACACAATTAGAATTACTATTTCGTTCTATGAAACCTTTGATTAACTACATTCTTAGATTGGGACTCAACATTAAGAAACACTTATTAGTATTAAGAAGATTAAAATCTGACTATACGGATAATGGATGTATTAATTGAAATATCAGAATATATTGAGATCCTAAAAAGGTATTTTACACGAATGCTCGAAGCCCGTCGCATCACCGCTTCGTACTAAATATACAATATACACATTTGAACGACATTGGACCGATATAAGCTAATACATAAACACCTAATATAATGCAATTGTTGCAGATAATAGTTTTACAAAAATATAATTTGGAATAACTTTTTAAGAGATTTGTAAAATTGCTCCATTATCCCCTCCGCGACGTTCTCTCTGAATATGAGCACGGAGCGGTATACAATAATTCCGCATCGTCACAATTTACCTAAATATTTACAGACCGTACTCCTGTTTACGTCGATCACAAGTTGTTTACGTTTCAGTCTTACCATTTCACTCCCCAATTAGATCAAGCCAATAAATATATACGGATTCCGGAATGAGATACAATAATAGGTACATTAAAACACCGATTAATAATTACACATTTGTACAAAATTAGGTCTAGTTTACGGCGCATATGTTACAGCGAATCCTTGGGATACAGGTGTTTAAATAAGACAATCGAAATATAGCGACGTGCTTTGGGTGTATAAATAAATTTTATTTACAAATGACCGTAGCGGATATAACTGACTGTGGTAACTTTGCGTTTAAAAGTGCCGGAATTAGCACAATCATTGGTAATAGCAATATTACCCTGTTAGTAACTTAACTACAGAAAACGCACGAAAACGTGCAATAGATATTTTATACTTAACAAATAAAACTCGTCAAAACGACGCATCACTAACAAAGAGACTCGAGAGCAAGGTAGAAGTCGGGTGGCGCTTGTCGCTTTAATGTTTTAGCAGAAGTGCGGCGTGTTTGAGGCGGAGGTGAGACCGCAGGGTGTCGATGCGGCTGTAGGTGGCGGGGCAGTAGGGGCAGAGGGAGCGCTGCGCTGTGTGCGAGTGGAAATGGTGCCAGCGGTTGGACACCTCCTTGCCGCATGACTTGCAGCGCCACAGTGCGGCACTCTCAGTCGCCGCAACAAACATGCTGTGATACGAGTATTGCGCCGCCGGCACGTGGGGTCGCTCTGCAACCAACCCCGCTTTCCCCGTCACCTCTAACTCTCATTTTATACAATAGATTCAGGCCTTCGCCCTTACCATAAGTTACGGTAAAAGTTTGCTAACGGACGCGAGAGGTACGACTTGTAATCGAGACTATCGGCTTCTAATTTGACAAATTCAATCGTGGCCAACTAGATTGAAGAGGATTATTAAGTAAAATACCGTGTAAACAGACTATAAGTTCTCTTCGCGATTTTGTCAAATCAGAAACTCCAAATAAATAACTTATGGTAAGCTCGTTAAGATTTTTGATAGGAATGCGACTATAAACGTTTAATCGGTAATACAATAAACGATAGCAATACTCTTATAGGTCTAATAATTTGTCTAATAGTTTGGCCTTTAAAGATTGCCGTTTTTTTTCATATTTACAAGATTTTCTATCATCTCTTAACTCTAATGGGTTCAGCAATACCTTCAGTTGCGACATCGAAGGGACGCATGCACTTAATAACAACTAGAAGCATTGCCGGATTTGTAAAGTGACGGCAAACAGCGGACTATTGGCCGTCACATTATAAAATAACAGTTCGCAATGGGATGATGTGACACGCACAACTGAAACTACACGAATTGTAACATACCACAATTTAATGTAAAAATTAGTAATAAATACAACAGATAAATGCAGGAGTTTGCAACATGTTAAAATTGCATTACATAACATCAAACAATGTGAAATAAAAATTGCATTAACTGCTTGCATAAAACAAAATTATTTAAAATTAAACTCTCGGAGGCATCAAACCAAGACATTAAAATATATTTATTAACAAACAAATCGCTCGTAGAAATCCAATGTTAAATGTAACGAGAAATATACGGTCAACGTTAGACGATTTGACACCCCCGTACCTATTAGTATACATACTATTGTGATACACGACACTATAACAAATTGGCTAATGTTAAAAGAAGAAACAAAACAGAACATAACTAGACCATCGCTATCCTGAATTAACCACAGAGCTCGTCCTGCACTCCATTGCTTCGCTAATCACACCCTTGCGATAAGAGGTAAATTTAATAATATAAATTGGAATAGTCATTAGGTTGGCCAAATAAGTGACTAGGTCCGCAAGACCTCGTAAGACTAATTTTAGTAATTCGTTAACCTTATGTTTAAAATTCCATATGGCATATAGTAAGCTTTCATTAAGTTCAAACGTCTATCGTATTAAGTTGCGCACTTTCTGAAAGCTGAAAAAAGAGATCAAAAGGAGATATTTTCTGAGCCGAACGATGTGGTACTCCGAAATATTCTGGCCAGACACTATCGTAGTATCCTAACCTAAAATATCTAAAATAATCTATGTTACTAATCGATCGATTTGCTATAGCAAATTCAATATAAAAAATTGGTCTCGAGTGATAGTAAATATAAAAAATCAAATGCATTCACGATTAGAAGCGTTTCACGCGGTGTAAAGCGGCTTTACACTGGCGCCATCTACTGGCACGGGACCGGATAGCTATGATCTATACCAACAATAGGAGTCAACTTGCGCGAGAATAAATTATTAAAGAGTACATAACTATTACGATTGGCAGAGGTAAACAAGCTAATCTTAATATTACCAGCTATAAAACCTGTACAGTGCCGTAACCCAAACTTCCGTTCACTATGTAGACATAGAAATTAAGAGTAGATCACTTATATGTAAATACAAATAGGTAGATATTCTCTTTAAGACATTAATTACCTTTAAAATATCATTTAGTTTGGTTACGTAATTAAATAACTAGTAATATTGCACTGAGTATGAAACGCTATCAAATTATAAGCGCCCACAATACAACGAACGGCAGATATAAAAATCTTTGTTAATCTTAAAAATAAATATAAATCTTTGTGGAAGTAACATTTTGGTTATTTAAATATAAAATCCGTAAGGAACGTCGGAGCTTAGTGCTTATTCAAGTGGGCCCCTATATTCAATAGATATAATCTAGGTAGATACGAGTTATGACTATGTTTAAAAAATTGCACAAGTGAGTTGCATGTTCACAGCTACTAAACAGCATTAATGCCGCAACTTAGTTATATATATTTATCGGAGAATCACGGACATATTTGGATGCGGTTTACAACACCTTATCGAACATTCCTCGGTTCGGTTAACTATAAATAGTGTTACATATGCGTTAGTACAATCGAAGAGGTCCGAAAGAAATTAAGATAAAATCTCGAGTGATACTGTAATCTCTAGGCGTGTACGACATATTAATATTACCCGTTGACCAGACAGATGCGACCTCAATTGGATGCTAGATGCCTTACATTTAAGCAAACTAATCATAAAAACATTAATTAATTAATATTACAATAGGAGTCGAATCGTAGCGTGTTAACACTCTTGGTTCTAGCACCATTCCATTTTATCACATTTCTGTTACCGTACCACTCTAAAGTGTTTAGCTAAAAATGTAACAATCTTAAATCTTAATTGAAAATACATAAACGCTAGGTTAGTCCCAATCGTAGAATGCCGACATTAGTCGCTAAACGCAACCTCCGAATATCCATTCTACCTTAAAATAATCGAAAGAGGTCTTTGACCTCAAGCACCGTACACGCTGGGACCGGCAGGGCCCTCACACAAGTAAACACCTACCAACGATAAAATAAAACATGTTAACTCTTATCAACGCAAATAAACCGAAATCAATGTTACCATTTATGATGAATATCGATAAAAACAAACAACACTAGTAAATCATATCGTATGGATAAATATAAAATTATATTAAATCAGACAATAGAATATATCTAAGTATAAAAAACAATCTCCGTAAATAGATCAACTAGTCTAGTATAAAAAAAAATCTTTTCGTATGTTTCCTTAGGCGCTATCCGTAATACATCACAAATCCCTAATAATTTTATCCGTCTTGCAAAGGCCTCATAGAGTTAAAAAATGCATCTACACTGAGATTCAGTCAATATTTATATGTCGTTGACCGACGACAGATCACAATCTCTTGCCAGTTCTTTTCATTCCTGATGTCGTTCCGCACCACCGATAGGATTGTTAACATAAATATAATTAGCTACAGGAAACTCATAATTTCCTATCTAATGAATAAATATAACAAGGTGAACGACGCCCGCCGGGGCGTCCGATAATAGCCAGCATCGCTCCTCGATAAAAGTGTATATTCTTAAATAGCTTAAGATGTATATCGATACAATATAAAAATAATATGGTAATTAAATTAACATCATATTATTGCTTTTGCCCGTTCCCGTATAGCGATTGGTATAGAAAAAAATTTAGCTTAACTACATATACACGCCGCGGCGCCCTCGGACGGCGCGCGGCTCCAATTATTCCTAGACGCGGATTTGTTTATAGTTCTCGCGCGGAATAAAGGTCACACTGGGGCAAGTCAAATGCACAACCGAATACTAAAACGATAGGCCTGTCGCCGACGAGCGAGAACTCGATCGAGGCCCGCTTAAGTAATAGCACTTCAGCTTAATCCTAGATAGGAAACGCGAGACGGTTAAAAATTTGACACGTGGAGAGTCCGTTCTGGCGTGGGCGGCGCTCACAGAGCGTCTAGGCCGAGCCAGTACATGGACAATCAGTCGAAGCTGGCGTCCAGGTGGTTGGCGAAGAGGGGCGCGTGGGGCGGTTGGGCCGCGTTGGGCTGCGATTCGAACTTGCGCGTGTCCGGATTGTAGGCCGGATGCTTGAACTTGCAGTGCGTGCGCAGGTTGTCGGAGCGCGTGTAGGTCGCCCGGCAGAGGGGGCACTCGAAGCGCCCAGGGAAGTGCACGTGATAGTGGTTCCGGATGTGCGTCACCACTTTGCCGCACAGCTTGCACCGGTGCAGGTTGAGGGCGCCCGCCACGCGCTCGAACGTGAGCCGCATGTGCCAGCCCTTCGAGCCTGCAACCAGCCGTCTGTCACTCCACCACATAGCCCCGTCTCTCTCTTACCCACGCACAATCGTGCCACAGTGCCAACCCTACTCCGCGAGGGACCATCCTTATACAACGCAATGTGACATAACGCGATTTAGGCCCCGACCACTGTTTATCACAAAATGTCACACTCCGTCGACCCGGTTGCAATATATGGATGGCCCTTTAAAAAGTCGATCGAGGAACTCATACTTCTCAACAATTAAATAAAATTAAAATTATTTATTTGTTTTTAAGAGTTGGCCCTGCCGCATTGTTTAGATGAGCGTGAAGTTTTTAACGGTTTGTTTATGTATGAAAATAGCACTACAGTAGAATTTAAAGCGCGAATTATATTAATTTTACTGTTTAGAACTAAGAATTTAAATTCTACTGTAATCGTACTAGTAAAATGGAAACATACTTAATAATATAAAATTAGCACTATATGAAAGCGTTGAATAGTATTTTGTTAGAGCTATGCTATGAGTCTCCTAGCGCTATGAAAGCATGTATTTATAGGAAGAGATTTAAACATTTTAGCACAACTTTGTATAGTTATTCACCAGAGTGTTATCGTCGTTTTTGACAGATTCATGCAGAAATGAACCAATAATACTGAAGAAATGGTGTTTGTTATATCCTGTGATCGTTAAACAGTATGAAACATAATTAGTTCGCTGTCACCAAGCTCGAGTACAAGATAATCCTTGAGATATAGATCTGCTATAAAAACAAATGAAAGCATGGAAATAAGGATGAAAATGAAAAGAAAAAGAGATATAAATAAAGAGATATATTTGCAACGAACACACAGTAACGATTGATTTACATACAAACTAATCGTAATTAAAGTAATGATAATAAATTAATATTAAGGAATACCTGGATACATAAGCAAAATCAGTCTTTGACACAACCGAGTTTTAGGTGTCTTTACAATCACTACGAGGAACAAAAAGAGATCATCATGTTTATGTTTATTAGTAGGGGGCCAGATTTCATTTTTCTGTTTGAGAGATTCGATGGAACGAAGCATGTGTATAAGTAACAGACCATAGACCCAAAAAAGGTATCTTAATAATAATGATATCAGACCCTCTTTAACACGTTGAGTTTGTACTGTAAGTATCACATACAATAATTAATTCTAAGTTACATAATTAACATTGGTTTAGAAACTTTGGACTTTATGAAAATCACTTGATTTAACACGATAGAGTGAAAACCAATTGTATTAGTATAAAAGCGAACGGTTAGTCAAGTTAACATTTACCTATGTACAGTAATTTTGGTATACTTGGTTAGTTGATTGTACTCGCAAATTAGGACGAGGAAAATTATTAGAAGAGATTTAGATAAAACAAACCACACCTTACATCTAATTAGCATAACATATGTTAAAGGCCGAATATTATGGGCACTTCATTGAAATGGGTAATTTTTAGTATAAAGCAGCTTTATATTTACAATATAAATGCGGTTGTTTAAAATCACATGATCCCTGGTAACTCATTTAGCCTATTACCATGGGCGTACTCGGTTTCTGGGCTAGGTGGGAGGGGGAGTAAATCTATGGTGCCCTGTATGCTTTGAATGTACATTGAAAGCAAAAAGTCCTTTTAGACCCACTCTTCGATTATAGTTAGACCGTGCAATAAACCATTGCAATTTTAGATCCACCCCGGGTACGCCCATGCCTATTGATCTAGTTAAGAGTGCTATCAGCATTTAGTTTGAATGTTAGATCGGTTGTTAAGACCTAGAACGGAACAATGTTTCATACGGAGATGCCGTTTGAGATTATCAGCTCGCGTCAAAATAATCGGGCACAGAGGACACTTGTGCTGTTCGGGATTGTGGGATTTCATGTGTTTCTTTATATTCGTGACATGTTTACCGCACACTTTGCACGACATCGGTACGTTATACGATCTGTGGTTCAATGCGATTTTAAACGATTTGACAATATTCTCTATATTTGTCACGTTGTGGCCGAACGCGTCCGGAGGTTTATCGTTCTCATCCCCAAAGCTTTCACCTGTAAGATACGTTAGTTCTTGACTGCTGGCATAGTAACTGAATGGCATGCTAGCGATCACTTCGAAAACCTACTGCCGTAGGCCGAGCTTCGAATAACTACAAGGCACTCCAAACACGATCACTCGTTTCGTATCCTATTCTACATGCAGTCCATACTGAATTCGAACGCTTAGAAATATCTCATCTAACGGCCTATGTCCCTCCGGGGGCGCCAAATCTTGGTCGATATGAAAACTTTAATTCACACCGATTTCTTCGAAAAGAAAAAAAAACGAAACCGTAAGAAGCGTAAGAAATGAAATTAAGAAGCGTTCTGTGTTATATGGTTAGTGCAAATTAGAACAGAATTTGAAGCAATGGCAGATCATGCGAAGATAAGCGATGCATGCGATACCTTTTACAAATGTTTGGGACAACTTCCTGATCATTTGTAAACGGCTTCATAATTTATGCAAATAAAAATAAGAAGCATTGATATAGCTCCGGCGGTATCTTCCGACAAAATGTAGCGTAAATATCTTTATTTTTATTACGAATGACAGTTTAGTCGTAATGAAGCGATAACGTAATAAAACGTGTACCGGAATATACGTTATAACGGAGCGATCTCAATCCAAAACATTGCTGTACATTCTACTTTATCGTCGACCACCAAACAAGCTCGTTTACCTCAAGTGAAATATGCAATAATATAGGTACTTCAAAGCTTTATTTGAACACGTCAAGATAAATTCCGGCAGCTGTGTTAAATATTACAGATTCAGTTACACTATAGTTACAGAATATTGTCGATTCGTTTTTTTTTTTGCAAAACGTTTATTATAATTTTGCTATACGAGAGTATTTGGTGGTGATAGTATATATTGGCGACTCACCGTCGATGGTGTCAGTCTGGTCCGGGTGTGGTTGAATGATTTGATCCGTTTCATTGCAGTCGTTGGTCAAGGGGTGCGGCGTCAGCATCGCAGCCATGTCGTTCATCCGATCCATCGTCTGGAATAGTTTGAAGACGTATTCAAACAAACAAATTTTGTTCTATACTTTTTTATTCTTTTCAATAAGATCGGTTGTAATGAAGGTTAGATTATGATAGATTATCTGAAGCCTACTTTTGTCAAGACACATCGATTACAGAGACTTCCTTATTTAATTCATATCTTAGCAATACTATCCTACACTTAATACGGACTTTAACTACAGGAAATTTCAAATTTTGCTTGCCCAAAGGGTTATTTATATGTTATTCTATTCACAGAGAGGTTGGCAAAATAATTCGTAAAAAAATAAAAAGGTGTTTGTATAAAACACTCTACATGTAACAAAGCTAAAAGGTTATTATCTATTTTTGTATTTAAGGTAAGTATGGGACTTATAAAGGCCTAATTTATTTAAGCCAAAAATAGACTCATAATTACAATAAACAACTTTCAATGAGAACCTCTTTACTACTAAGCAATGAAATAATAATATAATAATCATTAAACAATGTTTGAACCTAATATTTTTAAGAGAAATCGGTAAATTAAAACTGGGTCTTTCTTCTTTTGAAAGGATTATAAAGAAGACATAGTAATAGATTAAAGGTCTTTGTAAAACTATTATTGAGTAACATTTGAACAACTTATAACAGGAGGTTGGACTTTATCACAATTTATGAATGGTCTTTTTAATTTTTAACTGAATTACAATAATTTAAGCGTTATAATAAATTCTAGGATTTGCCTGCCTAAATGCCTATGATGCATGAGTCCTTGTCTAAAGCTATTCTGACAAACAAGCTATTTCTTATGTTTTTAATTGCATAGACGGAACTAAAACGTGTTGTTAAAGGAGCACCTTCGTTTGTTTTAATTTAAAAATGTAGAAACAAATTAAATGAACAGACATTATATTTTTGGAACATTCATACCTAAGTAAATAACAAGATAAATTTGTTACAAAGGACAAATTCATTATACGATTCAAATTGTTGCATGGTATAAATAAACCATACCTTAAGGAAAGTGTTGATAAATATACTGCTAACCCAACATCGAAAAACGCTTACTTCCTGCTATACCTGAATCTGAACATATCTCACCGGTAGATGCGTTTGGTCATAATTAGGAGGGTGCATGTGATGTGGATAGGGCGAGTCCGGTTCCTGCTTGACGAGCGGCGTGTGAGCGGGTGAGCGAGCAGCGCGGCCATGCAGCGCGTGCGCAGGTGGCGGCGTCGACGGCTCCGAGCCACTCCCGGTTGATCCTTTGCTACTTTTCACTTGACCCTTTGAAAAGCGAAGTTAGTAATGAAAATCTGGACCGAAAATAGGTTTAAGTCATAAACACACATGAAATTTTGACTTTTCTTTTATTTACGTAAAAGGTTTTACAAATGTGTTACTTGAATAAATACCTTTTATTTCTTTAATTCCATACTTAATATATTAAGTAAATACATGTTACATCACATCTATACATATACAATATTTTCTATAAATTGGAATAAGTAAAAGATTTCTGAAAACATCGAAAAATCGAACTAGGCAAAAAGTGAACATGAACACGTCTATTTCTGATACTAGATTTTAAATAGAACACACAGTTAGGTACTTTTCTCCAGCGATACTGTTATGCTTATTATGATCGATAAAAACTCAAGACTGCGTCAACTGAGCGTGTACTTCTTTTAATTATGAAAAAAATATGATAAGGAAGCACCATAGTTAGAAGTTGAATAAATGAATACAATAAAGCACTAAATCTAAAATGCGTCTTAAATTTCAAGTCGTTAATTGCTAATTTATTTACGGTCATTTTGATTTCTAATGTATTCCTGTCTGATAGAATAGAAACTAGTCGAAACGACAGCCCTATCAATAAACTGGATTTCACAATATTAACATATGCATTTAAAAATATTTCATGGTACTATCTAGCTCTGAAGTAAAAGTAGCAGGATGTTATTTTTATTACTTTAGTGCACCTAATGTATACAAATATACGAAATTACTTCCTGTTAAGACATGTAATTTTTAATGTATTAACAACATCACAATGACACACAATCTGTAAATAAAAACAAATGGCATAAAGATCGATATGCTTAGAATATATTAACTTTTATATTTTAACTACAGCCCGAAATTTAAAATTGAAATAAGTTAACTAATAAACCCATGAAAAAAAAAAAGAGTGTTTATAAAGAGGAAAAAAAGGGGAAGTAGGCAAAACTAGTAAAAATCGCCCCAAACCTCACTCTAAAAAAATGTTTTCATGAGAATAACAAAACAAATGAGTAATTATTTACTGGTAACACGATGCACTTACTTCATACGGACGATACGACAAGTCAATGTCTTCCCTTGGCACAGTGGAGTTCTTCCTGCGTCTCTTCTCGGGCGGGACGTGGGGCGCATGCGGCGGGGGCTGCTGTGGGGCCCCGAGGGGCGTCAAGGGAGCACCCGCCGTGTGCGCAACTGGGGGCGTCGCGAAATCACCGCGGGCCGATAAGTTCTCAGCACTGACCGACGGCGTTGATCGCTCTTCCGTCTAGATATAGAGCATAGATTTAAATGCATTATAACGTTATAGTATCCATAACATTAGTATTAGACAAATAATAAGTGTCCTTAGAAGTACTTACTTAGGTACTAAGAAATAAAAAATATTTGTATAATAAAATATAATTAATTGGTTCATTTTTTCTAATAAAATCGAATGGTACTCTCCTGTAACGTAATTTGTTTAGTTAATTATTTGTAACGATTTTGATTTATTAAAAATGTTATATCGTAAGTGTAATATTAAGCATTTCCAATTTTACTCTAAAACTTGATTTTAACGTGTGCAATAAAAACAACAGTTAGGCATCTAACATACGGTTAAACTAGATGCGGTTGCAATTTATTCAGCTGCAATAAAATATACCAATCGTTATCTTCTGTTAGTGAAATCTATAGCGTTACCGTTAATTCCGTCAGTTACGGAAAATAAGCTTCCAATACGCTAAGATCCAGTACTTACATAAATATTTAATGAGAAAACAATTTTTTATATCTATACTAATATTATAAAGATCTCAGGAACTGTTTATCGAGGAAGGCTTTAGGCTATATAACATCACACTGCGTTGAATAAGAGCTAAGAAACAACGAAAAATTAAAAAAAAAACCGAGGGAAAACTTCATCATGAAGAATAATCACGATAGTATCTTTTAAGTTTAATTTGCAAGAACGACGGACTCAGCCGCCGTCGTGGGTAAACAAAAAAAGAAGATTGCTTTCAACTATTCCACGCGGACGAAGTCGTGGGCACAGCTAGTATATAAATAAGTTTGTCTGCAGATATTCAGTTTAAATTGCATTGCTATGGACTCCCTCAATTAACTCAGTTACAGAGCGTAGTGTCCGAAGTGTCTAAAGGTTTAACGATTATCTAATATATACTTTAGACAGAAAATATAATATTTACCTTTAGCTAAAAAAGGACACGAGGAATGCTCGTGCGAGTGTAATATACGGTATTTCGAACGATGGAGTCAGGCTAACGGCACAAATGCATCTTGCGCTTGCGGCATCACGAAATCTCTACGTTCTTTACGCTAAGCTGTGACTACGGCGACGACCGCTCGCTTAATATACATAACGGATTTTAAATACGCTTACACCTTGATTTAAAACGGCAATAAATAACTTCATTACTGCGAAGCTTGCGGTCATACCAAATTTAATTAATGCATCCAAATTGTTTAGATAGCACACAAATAAATTAGTTAGAAAATAACTATTGACTAGCATCTTGCTTGCAACTTTGTGTGCGACAAGATTGTTTTTTAATGTCTAAAGTATAGGATACATCTTTTAAAGATAGATTTAATACCCCCAACATGAAACATGTCGAATAAACATTTATATTCTCAAGTCACTATCAACTTAGCCTTTGTACCTATAGTATATTTTGTATATATACCTAGTATTTAGGTTTTGCAGATGATATCTGCATAATAAATTTTATCAAGGGCAAACAAATTATTTCGCTGCCGAGGTCCGGGTGTGGTAAATGGCAAATTTTAAATAATTTTGCATTCATAGGTAAACCTACGAGAAGGAGCAATATAATCTGAACAATTAGTTAATTAAATATAAATTATGTTAACTTTAGCTGGTCGATTTTTTACTCACACGAACGTTTTACTATGTACCGAAAGAGACGAGAACACAATTCTTTAGTTCACGTTTGTAAAGTCGAAAAAGTGCGTGCGCAGGTTTTCGGAGACTGTTTTTTTATGCGTATATTCTTTTATTACATTGCAACAATGATTAATTCACGTAAGCGCGAAATTTAGCGAAATCAACTGTTTTCTTGTGACAGTCGCTAGTGTGAACCGGTTCGCGAACGGGTCCGTAGTAAATGCACGTGTTTTTTGATATACTTTGCATACTATTATCTGCTTTTGAAAGCTGCCATAATTTATTATTCCAATCTTTTATATCGTGTATGGATAACTGTTAATGAACTAGAAGATTCTTGTGCGAAAGGTTCGATGTACCCCGTTTTTTATATCCGTGCATTTAAATTCCGTACCCTTTTACTAATAAATGAATACATATTAGAATGTCTTGAATATTTTAACGCTTTAGAAGGTGAAGAGATTTTTGCAGAACTTTGTCTAGGTAGTGATTCCTTTTTTTTGTTTCACTAAGCGTAGAGAATAGTTTTCGATTAAAAAGCGATAGTTTATTTAGAAAGAAATAAAAGACACGTTGACAATTTAAATATTTAACTTCAAACTGTATCAAGCAATAAATTCGAATATAAAGGGTCATTGTGCTCTCACCAAAACTTCAAGGCCACTGTATACCTACTCGATCTACGCAAATGTGCCAGACAGACGAGTCTGGCACGCACTATTCGGCAGATTGTTGTACACTTAACGACACAAGTATTCATCGGTAATTAAAAAAATTGTACAGAATAATTAATTGCAATTGTATTAGTTATTACTGAAGTTTTTTTTACAAATAGTGTTTTGGTCGGAATGAGTGAAATAAATAAATTGTCATTAAAATTTTAAGTTTAAAGTAAAATTAAGAAACGTTAAAAAAAAATTTATTGACACCTAAATAATTTCGGAATTTAAACTACATTTATCATTTTAATACTTTATATTACTTTACTTGTTATTAGTGCGTCTAAAAGTTGATGAGAACTCTTTTGTAGACGACAGTACTAGAGCAAAAAATTAGAAACTCAGTCTTATCAATTTGTCAAATAATAGACAATAGACAACCTACGATGTGTTCAAATTGTGTCTACAAGGTATTATTATGTATATGTATTTAAGATTTATAAATAGGAAATGGCAACAACAAATCATTTTAAAAAGTCCTTTGCTTAAAAAAGGATAAAAATCCTCTGTAGGCTATAATCGTGTCCTGGGTTGGAGTCCCATGGAAACGCAGGAGCGGCGGACGCAAGCCTGATGAATTTCTTGTCCCAATACCCACGGAGGATAACTGGATGTCATACACAAACTTAAAATTATCCTGATAAATTGTAAGATGCTTACCTTAGGATTCAAAGTATTGTTTTCTGTTAAACCTCTGACTTGTAAACTTTCAGCAGTCTTTAGGAACATTGGTAGCATATTTTGGCCAACATTCACCTCTCCCTGAAAGAAATTTTATTATTATCTCCAAGAAAAAACATGTCTAATCAATCAAAATAATAGTAAGTAATTTACCTTGTACATGAAGTCTAATAATGACTTTATCTCTGAGAATTTCACATCTTTCAGAAATATTATCGGATGTGGATGTGAATTTTGCATGAATATACTTTCAAAATAGGGGGAACATGCTGAGAGTATCGTCTGGTGTGCCTAAAACAAAGGAAAATTAAACATTGGCTACCTTTTATATTCTATCAATATTATAAAATATCAAATCCAATTTCTTTAACCCCAAATAATTTATCTCTGTGGTTCATTGGATAAGTACGAGTAAGGAAGGATAGAGCTCAGAAGTCTAATCAATTACTTTGTAATACATACATTGGGAAGTGTAAACTAAAATATGTCTTTCCCATGTCAGATTTCAAATGTACTGACGGCAGCATCTCTATCAAAAATAAATATTTATGTTGTATATTGGCTATTTTAGCCCTTTCAACTATATACCATGTGAAACTGGTTTACCTTGCACCTAGAATATTAATTGTTTAGGAACAACAATCAAAGGGATGTCAAAAAATGTTATTAACTAGATTATTTAGCAGAGATATATGCAGCAAGAATATATGGAAGTGGTTCTTGAAGTCTGTTGGCCATATAAGTATTGATAATTCAGTTTGTTAGTACCTGATCAGTACATACATAAAAGGCATCGCCCAAGTCTTATAAAAGTACCCTTTTCTAAAACGAATTTGTTAGGAAAAGCGTCCTGGACAAGAGCAATAGAGGTAGTAAACTTACTTCATAGGCAAAAAGACATTTTCTATGATGCATGGAGTGAGCTCGTAAAGTGTTTACAGTTTATGATTTCATACAGATTATAAAATAATAGTGTTAATTAGTAATAGTAAACTAAGGATATTAGTTAATAGTTAGTTATAAATCATAGTTTAATTGTATTCTATATTTAGTTATGTTAGTTTTTAGGTTCAGTGTCCAATTGGGCTCCCACCTGTCATGACATGAATTTTATTGATTAAATAAATAAATAACATAAAAATGATTAGAAGTAAACAACAGCATAAGAAGGCTCTTAGACAAAGTGACAAACAAAAAAACACATAGAGAACTACATGCCTCATAAATAACATTAGTAAAGACCCTGCAAATTTTTTAAAATGCATAAACATTTGAAGGCCTCTTCGTTTAAGACTATACAGACCTTGTCTTTAAATATTCATTTCATACACATTCATATTATAATTAAGCAATGAATTGTTCTATTAAGGAAGTAAAGATGTACATAATACTGCATATTTTTTTGTACACCTATTAAGATTTTAACTCAGTTTTGTATTCATTAGGTTGACGTCTAATCATTTAGGTATTTCTTTGACATTTTTCATGTGACAAATTTAATTGAATATTTATCACAAGAATCTATGCTTTATAAAGAGAGGTATGATAAATAGTTATAGAAAGTAACATAAAAGTATTGAGGTTTGATTAATGTCTTTACATCAATTTATCTTTGTAGACCCTAAAACTTGCCAAACATGTGCCATTCAGAATTAGAAAGTAAAAAACATGCAAGTCTTTGCAGACTTCTATGAAAACTATTCGCTGATGACCTACAAAAGAAATTGCATTACATTAGCATAAACTTTCCTTAGAGGTGAATTTAAATAAATTAGTTGGTGATTTTATGTTTGGTCATAATTTGATTTTGAATCAATTGAATTTATAGCACATATCTTTTAAAACAAATACATCAGTTCTTATAGCCAGAAAAAAATTGTAAGAACAACCTTGTAAAATTAGCAAATATTTAAATATCCACAATGTAGTCTGCCTTGACTTGATGCCTCCTAAGATGCTACATTTGTAACTAATGATAGTTGTTTCAAAATATCGACCACAGTTAAAACGAATTGCTGTATTAAGAAATAAAAATTCTATGAATCAGGCTCAGTTTATAAATAACACATCTTAAAATGTCATATTATGAAAATTAATCAATATTTGTTTACTATTGAATATAATATGTTGACATAATAATTGTAAACAATTGAATGATTACATTTTAATATCAGAAAACTATCTATATCTATTTTGCATGATCAAAGGGCTTTTCAGCACACATATTCTAATGATAAGAACAACTAACAATATGTATTAAGATAAAAATACTTTACCTTGACTGTCTCACCGTCACATGCCAGTGTGACATCGCATAGTGCTTCCCGCTGTAAAAGGCTTGCGAGCACATCAGTCAGGTTGTTGGGGTGATTGTTCCAGCGCAAACAGAATTGCTGGTCCATTGTTGGTGCTAATGTCAGTGACCGTGCTGCAAAATTCGTTCTATTAATACTTGTCACTATAACAGCAAAGTGAAATTCGCAAACGCGCGCAACCCGAGGTGCTACAACCTTCATGGACGCGCCAGCGACGTACCAGACGTGGTCTAAATAATAAGACACGTGCGCTGGTTATCAAATTTGCACCGTAGTCATTAGAGAAAAATTGGCGGCCATAGGGCCTAGATAGTGGAGCGAGAGATGAGTGACATCAGCGGCTCGAATTAATAGGGGCCGCGGGCAGCGAACTTACTGTACTCCACATTGACAGTTAGACCGCCGAGCGCCGACACATATCTACTTGTTGCATGCATCCACCGAGACCCATACATTATGTAATTTAGCCTGCGACGCTGGCTACGGGGCCAGCGACCCTACAGGACGCGAAAACCTCTAGCCGTCTATAAAACGAGTTTAGGAAAGTAGTACCGCTGCCCAAAAAAATCGCAACATGCTGACACCGTTAGAATCGCCAAGCTGGATGTGCCAAATTATTGAAAATTCTGAACGCGGTTTCGGGATTTTTTCGAAGCACCATTTCTCAAACAGTCACTGATCACTACGCGTGCCTGAAAATACACGATTGCAGCATAAACGGATTTCTAAACGCGTAGTTGTGTCAACTATTGACTATTACTAGCGCCATTTGCCGATCCCGTATCTCAGAATCTCAGAGTTATTATCAAACAGCGACGAAATTTTGTATAACACGCGTTTATTGCACTAACGCGAATTGAAAACAACCGCAAAACACACAAAGTCAATATTTCCTAACTCACCATTTGCAAAAATTTTGCCATCACAAACGCCACCCGACCCCTACCTTGCACTGTCTTTTTGACCACACACACATCTCGATTTCCGTGTTCACTCACGGCACCTCACGGCCTTCGGAATATCTTTCACATCATAATCGGCCACTATTCGCAAAGCGAACTTCATACGTAACTAGGCGACGCGGTAAATTTGAAATTTGCAAATTGCGCTACGTGGTCTTTATGAGATATTTCGTTGTTTATGTTATAGATGTATGTTAAAATGAGGTTTGTTTACACTTTTCATACAATAACAATTTAATACACAACCGTACTACCACAGCTCACAATTTTCAACGTTTAAATACATTTTACCTTGACTGTCACTATTGAATTGAGGTTATGTATAACGCAAAAACACTTTGATATATTTGAAAAAACTTAAACAAAACCATAATGTAAAAACGAATCCACTACCTTAAACTGCTCACTTACACCGTCAAAAGTGTGAAATTACAATAAAAATCATAAAATAATAGGTTAGATTACCTACAGTGGCCTTGACATTTTTGTTATCGCGAAAATTTGCAGTTTGCACATCTCTTTACGCTCGGTGTTACCGCCATCTATAAGTAAAGTTGTGTACTAAATGTGCGAATTTCAACCTTTGACGTTAGGAGTTTTACGTATTATAACGATAGATGGCGTCACTGGTTCTTAAAAACGCTTTAAAAACAATAGGCATTGGAGATATTAATTTACTATGACAGCACTACGTTGTTGTATTTTGTTTTCATAGACAATGTATATTAATTAATACCATATTATATCGTAATAAGTCATATTTTATACGTTAAATATTTAAGTAATTAACTAACAGTCCTGGAACAAAGAATCAAAGTTTTGAACAAAATAATCGTACATGTTTTTAACGATTTTACAATTAAAATAAAAAAAATTCCGTCATCCTTCTGCCTTCATCTTTATTATTATTAAATCAAACGCGCCTTGTTAATTATGTCAGTTCTGAAAACTTCAGACTTCAGAGTAAGTTATAATTTACAATTATTATTTTATATATGGATAGTTGATTATTATTTACGACCAACTTACAATATATTTTGTTAAGTAGGTACTTTGGCTACATTGAAACATACATTTTAACAACCTGATAAAATTAAACAGTTACATTACATTTACTACCCTACCCACATTCCTAATACGTCATTATATGTACTATATGTTACAAAAATATCATTAAAACTAACTATGAAGATCAAAGTGATTACCAAATACGATCTAAGTTCACAATATATAAATTTGTCGCCAATATAATCTACTTGGGAACAAGATTTGTGACCTCGTAATTATCAAGAGCATTGAACTTGCGAATAAATCAGAGTTTGGCCTTCTAGTCCTTTATCGAAACATGTAGTTAAATTAAGCGCCGAATAGATAACTGGGCATACATACCGAAATAAATAATTATCGTGCAACTAATGTAAGTAGATATTAATAGATGTCAAACAGTAAAAAACTGTCGTACAGTTTTCATTTACTTAGACCTTGTTTAATTATTATCGTGCCATATAACCATAGGCCGAGTATATTTTTCAATGTACGTGTAATTATATTTGAACAGAAAGCAGATTAGATTTTTATTAAGCCGAAACTTTTACTTACTTTTAAATTTATATAATGTCAACAAAAAAAGATGTATTTACCTATTTCTATCCCACAAAGCACTGATATCAACAGTAAAAAATACGTTTTTCCTTTTACTTTTTCCACTTCGTTTAAATTAATGCAGTCGTGCTTTGTTTTATTTATACAATAACGATTACTTACGATGTTAGGTAACCAACATATTACAGCAGTAAAAATTAAACATAAGATCGAGATATCACCATATTGAATAGTACTTATTTTCATATATTTTAATTAGTTTTGGGCCGCAAATATATGCGCCTGCAAAATATAATGGCAGCATGTTATTTTTTTTAATTACCGTAACTCATTCAAGCAGATGTAAGATGTTTATTCATGTAATTATTATTCAAATTTTAATTTACAATAAATAAGAACAATAATAGACTTTTTAATACTAGAATGGATTGCAATAGGTAGCTTTATCGCTTGCAAGCAATAAAAATAATAAAAAGTATGTTTTTGGAAGTAATGTGTAAGGTGGGCGAAACATAATATTATATAATATTGATTTTAAGGATCTCTACGAGGGAAGCCTGTTGGTAATCGTACCTCTCTAACAAGACTGCACATTCAGATGACTGCTTAAGGTCTTATCTTTACAGTATGATAAACGTTGAACCATGAAGGATATAAGCATGTAAAAATATTTATTTTAATGGTAATATGAACTCTTTTTACACAATGAATTGTTAATAAATTTAACAAAACTACAGACACGATTTCGTTTTTCTTATCATAGTATGGGTCGCTAATTTTTATTTTCGATTAACAGACAAAGCGAGAGAACCGAACAAGTGCAATAAGTTTTAATAGGTGAATGATGAGAGTGGTCTGTCGTGTCAGTCGGTAATGTAATGCAGTGCAAATGAGTCAATCTCCACGGGGTCGGGTCGCCACACACTGCTATTAGGAAATCGATTCGTTCTCAACCCCATCGACATCTAGCTACGATTTCGATTGTCCCCGTAATGGGCAATGTTCATTTAATCAATTATTAAATTCCCTTTGTGGTTGACACGCACCTAATTCGGATATAGGAATTGCAAGTATACAGGCATAGCCTATGCATAGTGATTAATCTGCTCTAGATTTTAATATTATGTCTCTTCGTATGCAAATTTTAAATATAACGAGCCACGCAAGATGTTTTAGGACGCAGACATTTCATCGTCGCTCACGTGAACTATACGCTTCTGTCCTTCTAGTTGTAACAGCGAAAAATTAAATTTATCGTTGAAGCATCTAAAAATAGTTAGAAAGCGTATCTTGCTTAGATGTTATATGGTTGGGGATTTCACCCCCCATTAAGTGAACCACTTGCTTGTCTGTCCTCTTCAATATTAAAAAAAGAACCGATAGGTACACGTATAGGTAGGGAGAGATTTTTGAACTCTATAATTTCACATATCTGATACAAATGCACAAATTACGTTTTTTTTCTACAGCACGGTTTAGCATAAAAATTATTGACATTTTTCTCATGGTCATGGACATAAAGCAACAGCTTAGTAATATGACATAACTGTCATTATTTAAATAAAACACTAACTGATTTTTAACTTCGGCCTGACGTTTCCTGTGACCACGGCTGCTGCGAGGCATCCGAAACGTCAGGCCGAAGTTAAAAAAACATTTTTCAAATAAGTTTAACTATTATATCGCGTTTTAAACCGTTAAAGTGTCTTATTTAAATGTGTACTACTCGCGTAAACTATAGACAGTATATAACTGTCATTATTTGACGACGGGGATTAATCTTAATCATTGTAAAAAACTAATATTTAACGGCTGTGTGTTAGAATAGTCTGTATATTGGTTTGACAAGATTCTGTTTATCTTAAGAATTAGTACTGGTGTAAAAAAAAAATTAAGGGTGAACAACCCTTATCACTTAGGGGGATGAAACATAGATGTTGTCCTATTCTCAGACCTACTGAATACACATTTCAAATTTGGTGAAAATCGGTCGAGCCGTTTCGGAGGAGTTCAAGTTCGAACACCGTGACACGAGAATTTTATATATTAGATAGTGCCCAAAACAATACGGTTCACTAGAGTGTCTATTTAGTGCGTATTTTTTTAATGATAGAGAACGATAGACTAGCATAGGGTACACATGACGGGAGGTGAAATACCCCCGCCACATAACATCTACACAAGATGCGTAGTCGACCTATTTTAGCTTTGGATATTCGACATATAATAATATTAATGTATTAGTTTAATATTATTTTAAATTAATAATCCGAGCTCGTCGTTATTTGCATGTATCCAGCACACCTGCAATCTAATAATGACGTGAGAGGAAAGTCGTTCGCTGACGCACTTAGTTTTCCAATTTAAACAATAGAAATTCAACGGGTGCTCCGCCCGTGGGACACCAATCTATCTCTATGTAAATTATGTTGGGAATGATAGCGACTTCCGTTCATCAGGTCTGCAGCGCACGTGGTTGTGTCGGATGCTGGTTTCACGATCACAAAAAAACGCGACCACAATTATAATCAAGCCGATACAAAATGACACAAGACTCACGTAGACTCTTGTCCCTAATTTGGGACAAAACAAATCTGACAAAACTTGCAGAAATATTAAGCCACTTAGAAGAGAATTAATGGTCTTAAAAATTATTCATAGTATCCATTCATCTTTGACATTCATAAACATTAGACAAGAATGTGAATTCCTTGTTAAAAGATATATTGAACTGAATAAAAAACATTAATACGTGGATTAAATAAATCGTGACGTCTATTTGAAAAGATTCTAAGTGTTTCGATTCTATATATTATGTATATTGCTTTTAAGCTTCCAGAAAGATCTTCCTTGTCAAACAAATGTTAATTAACTCGAGTCCATAGTTTTTGCCATTTAATGAACAACTTCACCAGATCAAATCGGAGTTTATTAGTTAATTATTTATGAGGACCTTATGTTTTTCAACTGTATGTCGTGTTTGAATCGGGTGAAGTCACTTTATTTCAATGCTTTAATTAGACAGTCAAACTTAAATTAAATTTACTTACCGTATCGTTGAGTAAATTAAGATACGTTCGCAATTGCATCGCAGGCGCAACATAATTAGATGGTAGTTCGTCTTGGAAAACATATTCCATTTCATTTTCTTCAGTCTTCCGCAGTCTTCACTGTTGTGTACTAAGACGAGAAAATATAGATGCATTGCGCACAGCACTAATTTAAAATATTTTATGCGTTTCATTGTGTAAATTTGTGTATTATGTTTGTATACAGTTCGTGTTGTGAAATGAATGTCAAAAAGTAGTTTTGTTTATGTTAAGTCGTATATACAAATTGAGAAAAACAATTCACAATCGTTTTTTAGAACCGATAAATAAAATTTATTTTTTTAAATAATTGACTATATTAAATTCAAAAACAAAATTATATTAACAATAATAATAGCACTTTACGCTTAATTTGGACTGATGTGATTTGAGATAACATCTTGCTTGTGACAGAAGGGAAGATAGGTTAAATTATCACAGTCCATATGACGTAACTTTTCATTATTATAATTCGAGTAACTTAACGATGAAAAATTTATTTTAAATTGTTAAACGATCCTTTTATTCAAATAGCATCTTTCCTCGGACGAACAACAGGTAAATGTAGAACACACTACATCGACATAATTAAACGTTCTGATAAAAATATTGTAGCAATAAGAACAATAATATTCTAGAGTAATTAAAACTGCAGAATAATTGCACATTACCCACCTAGATATTTATAGATAATTAGAAAATAACAATTTTACTATTAGCGTCTTGTATATTGTTACCATGTAGATTGTGTTGCGTAGCTTGAATTGAATACGGGGTATGAAATAACTATGATAACTGAGTGTGTATATGTCTGTGTGTGTGTGAATAATTCGCAATGCAGTCTCCAAACCTGAAAATAAACAAACGATGTTAAAATTACTGTAAACAATATATTGTATTACTATCTTTATAAAAGAATAAAATCCTATATAAAGCTCACGGGTTTGATTGTTTGTATGTTTAAACGCGCTAATCTCAGGAACTACAGGTTCAAATTAAAAAATTCTGTGTTCTGTAAATATTATGTTGGCATTTATCGACAAAGGCAATAAAACATTGCCCTGTGACTAATACAAGCGAAAATACAGCGAGAATTATAAAAAAAACAGGAAAAATTATTCCTCTCTGTAGGTTTCAAGTTCAAGATATAAGAAGAATAAAATTAAACACTATCACAGTCAGAAAATTTCCATGACGGATGATAAAAATAAAATTTAAAATTTACACACTACTTAAAATTCCCTTATCTATTTCCCTGGAAACTTAATTAGTAGATTGGTAGACTTTGTTGTTTAAATTTAGCCCTTGTAATTATTATTTTCTTATTTTGTTTCTCTATCCTGTTGCACAATATATTAGATGTGTATGTACATATATATTGTGCAAATATTACATGTCATAAGATTAGCAATGTTTGTAAATCTTCTATACTCAGCTTAAGTATTTTAACATATTCCTTTTTGTGCTCTTTACCATAGTATTTTTTTCTAATTGTGTAATCGGTAAGATGTTTAACCTATGTATACTATTACTGAGAAACCAAATACGATTTTAATATAAGATACCTACAAATATGTACAATCTTATATGAGCTAAAAAAGTTTGCAACGTTATATGTCTATCTTTTAAGATTAACTTGCAAGTACGACGAGAATGGACGCGACCGAAGTCGTAGGTAACAGCTTAAGTTTATAGAGATGAAGGGGTTTGTAAAAACGAATTTGGATGCCCAAAATAACAATTCTCGCGGACAAAGTCGCTGACACAGCTAGTAAAACAATAAAATCAAGCTTCAATCTTAAACTTAACTAAAATTTAATGAACGATTAACAGAGTGTTTACATTTTGCGTGTTAAAATTCAATATATTTGTTTTTAAACTTTCAGTGTAGCTATAATTGTGGGCAATAAAAGTATCAACTGATCCGTCCGATTACATTTTTATTTATTAAAATGGTTTATAGCAACGTACCTCGCAATCACGAGGTGTCATATGAGTAAGTGAATGTCTGTTTGCCCCATATGAGGTTTGGGGATAATATTAGGTGGACGATCAGACTTCTGTGGCCTAGGAGGCTGTAACTATAAATTTGCCCTACCTAAACTATGCTAATAATTATATCTTCAGATTATCATTTTTTATTATTTTTTTGTTTTGTGTTGCAGTGCCATTATATAATAAATATAATGAACTTAACGTGATCAAAATTCTTAGAGTTGATATATTCAAATAAAAGAGAAGTACTTATTCTTACTTATATATAAGTGACTAGTCAAAAAAATATTCCCATAATGGCATTATAAATATCTATTTAGATTTAAAAAAAAATTGACACGGGCGGGACTTGAACCAGCATCTTAGCGTACCGTGCACTAACAAAAAGGGGCTCCTGCAGCACGGACCTGTCGAACAGCGTCCCGTCTCTATTTCTAAGCAATTTGTAAATTAAAGATTAGTTTTACAAACTACACCTATTTCATATAAAAATAGTTTCACATTTGTTGCAACAAAGAAGCTTTTCAGTTTCCGTTGTAAAACAATAAGAGAATGCTGTTCATAAGATCTCAAAAAATATTAACAGCTAAGACACAGGACGTAGTGTTTGCTGGCATGAATTTTTCATGGCGATAAGGAAGGCAATGAGCGCGTCACTGCGTCTCGCAACGAGGTAAGCTGTTCTTCTAATATTACTAAAGCTGAATACACACTACTGTAAATAACTCCTATGTAATATATCTTATCCATAAGTGGAAGTTGATTGAAGACTCAATACGGCTGTAAGGATGCCTTGGTGTGACCTTTACTTAAGAGGCCCGAAACAATGGTGTTCTTTATTGTCGGAGGCGGTAAATTAATGAAAAAGAACCTTCACTTGTTGAAAAGAGCTCAATTGACCTCCTATTACTACCCCTTCCGTTTTAATTTAGCATCCGGTTTGCAAATTATGCAACAGTGGTGGAAAAAAAATACAAATGTCAGATCACAGTGCGCACGAGTTGAAATGTAAACACAGGCTGTTAAGCACTCTTGTAACATCGACACTATAGATTTAAAAAATCAATTCTTTTAATTTATATAGCTCGTTTGTACAGTAGTACCTATTACTACTATAACTACTAATCGTTTGTAAGAAGCCACCATTAAATGTAAAGTAAGTAAAGCCATTATCGCTATTTAATCGTTTAAAGCCTTAATATAAATAAATATAAGGATAAGTATCTGAACAACATAACTACTTATAATGGTTTGACATAGATTGTTACGTATTTAATTATGTCCCCATATTATATTGAAGCAAAGGATTCATGAAACATTAGGGTTTAGTTTGGCTAGAGAAACTTTAAAGTCGTTTTTTTTATAGTGACTGTTAGTCCAGTGCGAAAGGTGTGTACGAAATTAAAAGGACTGCGTCCGAAATTCACTAATTTCCAGCAGTTATTTATAACGCAAACGCCGGTAACTACTTTGTAGGCCTCGCCTGAGTCGACTCTTAATTTACAAATTAAATTTACACTATGTGGGATTGAAAGCAATTAAGGCTTTATGTAACCAACGTTTTTAAGAAGTTAGTTGAAAGAGCTCGCCTTGTGGCTAAGGCGGCTTGACGGCCTGCTTTTAAAGAAATTCACTGACATAATTTAAAAATGTATTTTGCTCATTTTTAATAAAAGACCCCGACTATATAGTAAAATATCTCAGTGTAAATTCAAAAGGCTACGGAAGATGAACAAAATTTACACTTTTTAGTGGCCATTTTGGTGGCCAGAAATTGGTGGACAACTTCGTTTATGTCTACAGCGTAGCTTTAAAACTGATACAAGACAAGTTCTGGCGTTTTATACAGTAGCTTTTAATTTAATTTAACCTCGACGGTATTGTTGTCGGACACAAAATCTGTTCGCGAAGTTGCATTAAAAGCATAGTACATTATTACAAAGGTAATGACAGGTACTATTACATAATTGTCGTCTGCGGAAATGTCTTCGGAAGACAGTTTAAATTTGGAATAATTGTGGACCAACTGAAACAATTGAAAAGCGCCCGAAGGAGAACTATTTGAAATAAGTGAAATAAACGTAAAATTTCAAATTCACGTCAAAGTTGTCTAAAGACTTATGAGGAGCAATTTGAACACTGACTCCCGTGTTTTATAAGTTGTAAAGATGTAAGAAATGTTGAAGAGTTCATTTGCTTGAAGTTTTTAAAAGCAATAACTGGAACACTTAAAATGTGAGTCTTAAGTTTTGTTCAGTCAGCGGTGCACATAGGTTTATATTTACCATTTCTTCGGTATATTATATTATATTATTTAACATGAACATAGTTGATTTTGATATGAAAATACAAAAAGTTTGTAATAAAAACTCTAATGTCAATAGTTATTCTTGTTAAAAGGGATTCTATATACGCTAATATTCTTACTACTAAGTGATTAACTTTCAGCCTAAAGAAGAAAAGTCTGTCTATACCTCAATCGCATTAAGATTTTTAGTGGCCATTGCTTATAAAGATGTAATAATTAAATCAATTATAAGTATTTCGTCATATCGTAAAACTATGTAGGTAATATAATTTCTCAATTATCTTTGCCTTAATTAAGAAGTTAAACGTCGTCATTTTCTCGTATAGGTGTTACGTTTGTAACTAATATGAAGAAGGTTTAACTTCATGAAAGCACTGCCTAAAAATATATTTGATGCTTATCTAACAAATTGTAGTGAGTTAGACATTTATTGAAGTGAATCTTTTAGCTGAATGAGTTTTGTTCAAACATCCTCCGGCGTTTAGGCGATTATTCAAATGGTCATGGAGGCATGCATTACATGCACAGATATACTGGCGAAATAGAAGCTGGATTATCTTGCAAGGATTCTATGACATTGTCCTAATAATAGCAATTTTATGTATGTTACGATAGCAATTTCTACGCGTTACGCGGGTTAACTACGAGAAGTCGCGACTCTTCATGTTTCGGTCGGGCAGGGCACAAAAGCCTGATGAACCACTTTGTTGTAAATAAGTGGGACGTAGAGCTCCCCACGGGGTTTTTC